TCTAGGGAGTCATAAGTGGGTGCCTATCCACATGCATTTTCAAATGCTACCCGGAGGCTTCGAGAAGCACCCATGTTGGATATTCGAGCGCAGGCCACGAACCTGGAGCGTAGCGCCAGCGAGCTGAAGCGCTTGGCCCAGGAGCGACCGACCGCAAACTTGGCCCGTGCCGGCTCAAGCCTTCCTATTGCTCGTCAGGGGTCCTTGATTGGTTTGCATATGCATATATGGTACAGCGTTGCCAGCCCCACCCCCCCCCCAATGGTCATGGGTCAGACAAGTACCCCCCCCTGTGGTTGTGGTCCTGTGGTTGGGTTGTGGTGGTTTAGGGTTGGTTTAGAATTGGTTTAGGGTGGTTGGTTTAGGGTTGGTTTATGTTGATTTAGGGTTGGTTTAGGGTTGGTTTAGGTTTAGAGGTGTACGGTTTAGGGTTTGGTTTAGGGTGTATTTGGGGTTAGTTTAGGGATTGGTTTAGGGTGTATTTGGGGTTAGTTTAGGGTTGGTTTAGGGGTAGTTTAGGGTTGGTTTATGTTGATTTAGGGTTGGTTTAGGGTTAGTTTAGGGTTGGTTTATGGTTGGTTGCGGGTTGGCTTGTCCTGGGGGTGGGGGTGCCGGGGTGTCGGGGTGCGAGTTCAGGGGGGTCGGGGTGGGGGTGGGACTGTAGGTGCCAGGATCCGGGGGCTCGGGGTCTCGGGCCGGGGGGGGGGGGGGGTCCTGGGGGACCCATACCATATGGGGGGGGGGTAGCAACACGGAACACGGGACCATATATACATATACACATACACATGACATGGCATGTATAGGTAGTAGGTACATGATATTGTGTGTGGGTATTTGTTTTCCACACCAGAAGCAGCATATCCCAAAACGTCGTCGTAGACAGCCTTCTGCCAGACTTCTAAACGTGTTCTAGCTGCTTCTAGCCTTGCCTCCTTCTTCTTTCTGCCTTTTTACCACCCTTGTTTCCTCAGGATATTTCTGCTGTCTTGCGGCTTTGAATTGCATTCTTGCTGCCTACTTCTTGCCTGCTCACCATTCTGCCAGCCGTTTACCCTAGCCCAACCCCAGCATTCCATGGGGTGCTCGTTTCAAGGTCGGACACTCTCTCTGCCAAGCAGCAGCTCGAGGCAGTCACAGAGTGCCCATCGGATTGAGATGGCAGAGGCATCCGCATCGCTCTTGGCATGTCGACGAGAATCACTTGGCTCAGTTACTTAGCTCGGCTACTAAGCGTGGTTGCTGAGCTTGGTGTATATTCTTCCGCTCAAGTTGACAAACACAACACACGATGTCGCCGCACTCGGTGTCTTCTGCAGGTTCTTCAGCAAGGGCGTTGTTGACCAGATAGCACTTGCCACTTGGGAGGGGTTGACAGGTACCTGGCCAAGCTCAAGGATGAATGCTCGGCAAAGGCGGGCAATTTGGAGACAGTCTAGGTTTCGGGGCTATGGGGACTGTGGACAATGCATGCTTGTTGAGAGGGTGCTGCTCAAGTGTGCGTTAGGCGTTTTTTGGTTTCTTCTGAAGAAGGTGCCCCCTTTTGGTCGGGCTTTTGCGGGACATTTCGGGGCTTCAGCGTTTTGAGAGACGCCCTCAATTGGTTTGCCTGGGCACTTTTTCAGCGAGCTTGTCAGAGGGCTTCTGAGGTTTGATGTGAAGCTAGGGGTATCCATTTCAGAGGAAAAGCAAAAACATGAGTCGCCGGCCTTTTTGAGGGGTCCACAAAAATCCTAACTGTCTTTGATGCTCGGCTTTCTTATGTCCGGTCCTTGCATGTTGGAGTGGGCAAGTTTGGATGGCCCCTAATTGTCTGCACTCCGCTGATTGCTCGTCTCTGCTTTTCAAAGGCCCTGAACTGAACCCTGTGCTCGGGATGCTCTCATGCGACGTGTGGACATGGTGTCAGGGAAGGTCAAGCAGTGCATTTTCCGAGGCGAGGGCTTTCATCATTCGGAAAAGTGATGAGTGTTTCTCAAAATTGGGACTTCTCCAGGTTGGTTTTCGTTTAGTTTTCCTCCAAAACGTCTTCCCACTGTACTATTTCTTACAGCCCCGTGTACAAATGAGCCGTGGACCATGCCAGCTCCCACGGGATGTAGATCTGAACTCTTTGCTTCTGTGATCTCGATCAGCTCCGCTTTCAACAGACCGGAGCACAAAGAACTCACCGCATTATATCTCGGCTGATTCCAAGTGTGTCGTACCTGTGAAGCTGGCAAGCTTTCAACTTTTTGTGAATCGGTCAATCGTGTTCGTTTTTCTATTCCAGGCCCGGACGTTGACTGTCTCCATCTTTCGGCGTGGCCATGATTTTGAACTGAACTCGTTTTGGGGTGTTCACAAGAAAGTTGAGGTAGAACCAACTATTCTTGTGCAAAGCTAACCCGCACCCATCACAAGTGAGATGGCTGCGGTTGCTGCGCTTTCGACTTTATTTGGCTGAGGTGGAGACCAGGGAGGAGCGCATTGCACGCCGCAAGAAAGAGATGGAAGGCGCGAAGCTGACAGCTCTTGCAATGTCATACATCGCGTTTGTTCAACAGTGTTTGGCATGTCAATTAATATATACATACACATACAGGTAGCTAAGGCAAGACAAGACCAGGCAAGGCAGGATAGGCTAAGATACGATAGATAGGTAGATAGATAGATTGATGGAGGTAGAGGGAATAGATCATGTGTACATACGCGGAGATATACGCATACTGTTCCGCACATGTGTATACATGGACATTTACTTTGAGTTGCGCACGGAACATGTATTCAGGCCTGCCTCCAACAAGCATAGCAGTTTGTATTTGGAAATGCTGAGCTCTGAACTGCAGACTCAAATGATCATTGTTGTCGTGCAGGACCTCGCAAAATCAATATCTTTTTCTTTGAAATGCCCTCCAAATCACCACGTTTATAACTTGCTTTTGTACTTTACTCCAGCAGCCACACATCTCTATTCTTGAGAATCTCAGTATGACCCACAGGCGCATTTTCAAGCAATACGTGGTCTTCCAGGGGTCCCAAGTTAGGTTCCTTATGGGGAAGGTACTTGAGGTCTCAATGTTGGGACCCTGAAGCCAGACTCATTTCCCCTTGCAAAGGAACAGTTGAACTACACTTTCAAAAGCATCTAAAATGACATCTAATCGCATGTACATACATCACATATGTATGTAACATATGTGTATATATATATATATAGACATGGCTCGGGAGGCGGCGAGGGTAGGATGCTGAACATATACAATTGTTATCCTGATTAGCAACCCCCCCCCCCCTCCTCCCTTCAAGGTCAACGAGGTTTGGACAAGGCCCCAAAACTAATTTAATCTGGAGCCCCTTTGGTCCTCCTCTTGCTTCTGGCCCCTGGGCAATCAGACTTTAAAAGGCATCAGTTTTTTTTTCTTTCCGGTTTTGAGTCCAAAAGGGCTGAGTCATCGCGGGGGGTTTTCTGTTACTGGGGGGGCTGTCTTTCAAGGGGGGTCCCTTGGTGAGCTTGAACACCTTGTCATTTTACACAAAGATGACAAAGACAAATGCATTTTGGGCGAAGCACATCTTTAAGGGGAACACTTGAGGGTTCAATAGTGACTTTGCATTGGTGGGTTTAAGCACAGACTATGCAAATATTAAGCAAAAAGGAACGCTCCTTTTCTGGCAGGATTTTTCTTTGCGGGCTGCAGGGGGGGTACCTTTATTTGGGGGGGTGGCTTTGAGGAGGCCCGAACAAGTATTTGGTAGAGTTTGTTTGGGCAAACCTTGTTGGCCCTTTACTTTAGTATTGGTGGAAGTCTGGGAGGGAACAGGGGGAACCTTCAATCGGGGGGTTGCTCATCGCACGCTGACAGCATGTATATATATATATATCTGTATATGTATATATGCACACTGCATGCACATTTGTACGTAAACATGTATGTTTATATACAATATATATATATACACATATATACATATATATATATATTATATATATGTATGTATGTGTATATATATATATATATATTAACCTCTGTATATATGTGTATACATATAGCGTATACGTGTACATATGTGTTGACACAAACAACCACAATACCGTGCAACACACAGTACAATGCGATGAGAAGCCGTGCGATGCAATGAATGCAATGCGCGGAATTTAGTACAATGCAAGGCAACGCAATGCAATGCAAGGCAGTTTTCTGCAACGTAAAGTATCGCAATCGAGTACACTGCGTTAACGATTGTGCGCACAGGCACGCACACAAGCACGCACGCAGGCACGCAGGCACGCACTCGCACCCGCACCCGCACCCGCACCCGCACCCGCACCCGCACCCGCACCCGCACCCGCACCCGCACCCGCACCCGCACCCGCACCCGCACCCGCACCCGCACCCGCACGCGCACGCGCACGCGCACGCGCACGCGCACGCGCACGCACGCATGCAGGCACGCACGCACGCACGCAGGAACGCTGTAAGAGGCGGAAGCATCAATTGGAAGGACAATGATGTACACGTGAACTCAGATGAGCTCAGAATCCCTCCAGACTTTTTCGGGATTGATGTTGTTTTTGACGCCTATGCACGAAGAAATCCGGAATAGGTTTGGGTGTCAGCATGTCCTTGAAGTCAAGCAATCACACGCCATGCCAGTCACAGCCCTCATAAATCAATCCAGCTGAGCATGGCCACACAGCAGGGGCTTACGCCTTGGGTCACCTATTCGTGTTTGCTTTGTCCGCTGAGCAATTGAGTGTTGGAACTGACTCTCCCAACCCCTGCCTTTGCAGAAATCGCTTAAGAGGAACCTCGGCCACGATGTTTCTACTTTTTACTGGCTTGATAGGGACCCGAGTAAATTTGTTTGCTATCAATCAATGATTGGCGTATCTCAAGGGGATATTTGCCCGAGCGCAACTCTCACTTCAGCGTCCAGGGACACGGACTGTTGGAGTGACATTTTTGCAAGGCTTGCAAGAGGCGCTGTCCATCCTGGAGTCTAGCGTGAGCGTGTGAAGACGACATTGCCGACAGTTTGCTGTTTCCGCATCTCAATCGGCCTTCTATGAAAGGGAAACAGGACTAATAATTACTGGTACGGTTTGCAGGGACACGACTGGCAGAGACATACCCAATGGCAACGAGGATTCATCAAGTCGGGCTTTTGCTCGGAAGCTCAACGCGCTTGCTCAGCGTAGGGATGGCTGGTTTCACTTCAGAAAAGATGCCGCGCATTTGCAGTACCGGTTGTACGCCAATTTGGTCCAGATCTAGAAAGCACTGGTTCACCTCAAGTGCCTTTTGCATAGTGACTGACAATTTCATAACCGCACTCGACGCCGGCCCTCTCAGCATTGCATTCTTTCTCAAGGGAGGCTACAGAAGGCCTAGGAGCGTGACTCAGCAGACCGTGACATTGAATCTGGACGCACACGCGTGCAGGAGTGTCCAGTACTTTTTTCACCTGCTGCTCGATGCTTCACTGACTAGGAATCGGCCAAGAAGTGCAGAAACACAAGCAAGCACACCTGAACCACATTAATCCAATTATATAGCACCAATCTTGATGACTGATGCTCGCCTTGAGTACGCTTGCAGCAGCTCTCCTCACCTTCAGACGAAGTAAAATCACCAATGCACAAAAGATAGCCATGCCAAGTTGCCAACTGCGGGCTCTCATGCTTAGACCAACCTGGGGAATGTATCCTACCTGTGTGTTTCCTATTTGCCCGCCCGCAACTTGTTGAGCCCCCGAAGGGGCCAGAGTTTTGTTCGCTTTTGCCATGTCGTGGCGGAAGCAAGCTGCCGGCAGCTGCCCCAAGGGGTCAGAAATTGGGGACCCGTTGGACCTAGGGCCAACATGGCACTAGGGCCCCAAGAGCCGCTGTTTTTGAGCTCTCACTTGTCCTGAGTGTGTGACAGACTACGCTGGACAATGCATCTTGGCGCACGCTCCGGATCCATGCCCCGGAGCAGCCAGGACTGGTGCAATGTTTGTTGGTGGCGGCAGGTCCCCTTTGCGGGATTCGCTTCAAATCGAATCTCGAGGGGTTCTTCAAGTTTGACACGTCTTGAATGTCCAGCTGCATGTGTTGCCAAGCGGATCTCGCATGGGCATCTACCTTTCCACAATGAACCTCGTGGGGCCAGCCATGCTCAGTGAGCGTAGAGACCCTACCCCCCCCTCCAAATAAAGGCCGCAGCCCAAGCGCTTATGCCAAACGCAAACGTGTTGAACCAACACGCTCCTTGAGCACCGCCGGATTGTGAGGCACCAGCAGCAGCGCTTTGTTCCCACTTTGCTCTCAAGCCTTGGTTTGTTGAGCTTGCCTACACCTTGGCGTTGAACGGGAGCCCAAGGTGCCATTGAGGACAGGCTCAAAGCTTGCGAGCTTTGCCTTGCCAGTGCTGGACGACCCATGCGTTCCAAGCACTGCGTTTGCGACGAGTAGGTCATACCTTTGTTACCATGATTAGTAACTCTTACTGAGTCGCCTTCCCCTTCACTTCACACTTGTGTGTGTCGCCCTTGGGGTTCTGCAGATGATTCTTGTCCGCGATATTTGTCCAGTCAGGCTGGCCAAAGGACTCTTTCCTTGCAGCTGCAGCACGCCTCATGTCGTTTCTAGGTGTTTGGCTTTTCCGCGCTCAACCTGACGCACCAAACAAGCCTCCTGTTGGCCCAGGTTGGGACGAGTGGAGTGCCGGTGACTGGGGCAGCGAGTGGAAGGCGCGTGTTGCAGCAATTGGCATGCCAGGAGCTACTAAGGACCGCTATTCTACCCCCCATTTGCTTCAAAGCTGGGAACTGTTGCTTGTTTTGCTTCCGTGAAGACGAGCCTTCGCCCGGCCTGTTTAGGGATAATTCTAAAACCTGGCCAAATTATTTTCATCCCAGGGTTGACACAATAACACCTGTTTATCAAATGGGTATTTGGAGTCATGCTTGATTCGAGAGGCACGAGCTAGATGAGAGCATGTTCAATTGCGCGTGGCACCTGGGCCTGGTGATCTGCGTGCTTCAAAGCAAATAAAACAGCTGTATATTTGCTCCTCATTTGGCATTTGAGCAATCGATGAAGCGGCGTCACAAAGAGCAAGTATACGTCAGTTCTACTGCTGGCTGCATTTTGGCCGCATGTTGCACATATTCCATACATGCACTGCCATTTACCTCAGGTTCTGTGGAAAGCGTCTGCTCAACTCCCCTTGCGTACACAGCCGCTACCAGAAACCCTGCACACGCCAGCCGCAATGTCGGGTGAACCGCGCCAGGCCAAGACTTGGGCCAAAGAGACCAGGTCACAGGCCATGGCGATGGGTTTCACAGGGCCAGGGCTTCAGGGTCCCTGGGTAAGACGAGTACCTGGCTAGCTCGGGAAGGTGGGACAAGGCCCAACCCACTTCCCGAAATTCAGCTATCCGTAGGTGTCAGAAAGAATGCACGGGGTAGACGGGGAGGATCAAAGCACACCGGATGCAGCGGTTTTTGGGGCGGGTCGTGGAGTTCTTCAAGCTGGATTTCCTCGGTAGTGGGGCAGGTGCAAAGTCGCTGAGAATACGCGATGCCAGCTGCCTGTAATTTTCCCAACGGTCCTGCATGAGAAGGAATCTATTTGCGCAAATGATCATTTCTATGAGTGCCTCCAAATGTATGCGAAAATAGGCGACCACAAAGCTCTGTAAGCACCGTTCAATCAGGGGACCTGCCCCCCCCCCCCCAAGAACTGCTTAACTTCCCAGGCAGGGCATAACGCACAACGCGTCCGTGGCATGGTTCGCAACAGAGTCAAGAAATGCTGGGGCTGCCAAGGGGCTGGAGTCCAAGTTGAGGGAGCGCAGGTGATGTCAGGCATGTTCTTGAGTCCTGCCTCGAAATTCGGAAAGTCCTTCAAAGAAGTTGTTGCTAACTGATGTGCAGATTCTGAGTTATATTTGTATGACACATTCAGAATCACTCATGTGTTTCAGCCTGGCACTGTGCGATGCGCAGAGCCCAGGCGAACGGCACCAACGGCGCGAGCAACGGCGCGAGCAACGGCGCGAGCAACGGCGCGAGCAACGGCATCAACGGCAAGGCCAACGGTTTTGGCCCCAGCTGGCAGGCGAGGCTTCTGAGTCCCTGGCAAGCACCGCTTCCGCCCACAACGTCAATTGGGACAATGCGCCAGGTTACAAAAAGTGGCTTTTGCTGAGGTTTCGGATTTGGAGATCTCAACTTCGCTTTGCTTCTTCTCCAAAACATAAAGCATCGCATTTCAATGAATTATGTGCCTTAGTCAAAACACCCCAACCTCGTCGCTTGGGTTGGTAGGGATGTTCTGGAGGGAGTTTCGACAACCATGACACATGCAGTGAACCATGACCGTGGCCATGAGTTTTGACCGGAGGACTGGGAAATCTGCCTGTGAATGTTTCCTGGGTCCTTTTGGTAGACTCAGGTCACGCACAGACAGCTGCCGAGCGCTTTGCGGTGCTGGCACCGTCGGCCGAGAAGATCAGGTTGGCCCGGGCGTTTCGATCTGCGGGTGGGAAGGATTCCGTGGGCCGACCGCCGACCTCGGCCCGCTGGGCAAGCCCTGGTTTGGCAACGAGCCTTTTGTGTTCAGATCTTTTGTCCAAGAGCAAACATACAAACGAGACTTATTTGGTTTAGCGTGCCAATTTTTAAGTTGGTTGTTTAGTTTGTCTGGCTTTGTTGCCTACATAGCTATTTGGTACTTGATATACGAGCTTGCTGGCTGGCTAGTTTGTTTGGTTGTTTGTTTGCTGGCTTGCGCATTTGTTTGTTTGTTTGTTTGTTTGCTTGCTTGTTTGCTTGCTTGTTTCCTTGCTTTTTTTCTTGCTTGCTTGTCTGTCTGCTGTTTGTTTGTTTGTTTGTTTGTTTGTTTGTTTGGTTGGTTGGTTGGTTGGTTTTTTGTTCGTTCGTTTGTTCGTTTGTTCGTTTGTTCGTTCGTTCGTTCGTTTGTTAGTTCGTTCGTTTGTTCGTTTGTTTCTTTGTTTCTTTGTTTGTTTGAACATGCGCACCTCCAAATGGTTGGCTGCCATGAGCTGTCCTGCAAATCTGTCCAAAGGAAGGGGGCGGTCTGCTTTTGATACACAGCAGCATGTTGGGTTGACGGGGGGTGGGTTGGCCGGACTGAGGCGCTGGCGCAGGGGACGTGAAGTCAGGAGTGTGCCAAACGCATCACAAGTAACTGTGTTTTAGGGGTGTCCTGCCTAACTTGTGTCCTTGACGTGGTCTCAAATCTGCGTACTGGGGTTTAGGAACCTGGTAAGCTGCGCCAGCAGGCGTGGCACTTCTCAGACGCGCTTTTGTGGTCTCAGGCTGTAGGTTGCTGCTCTGGGGGGGGAGCCGTGGAGAGGCCAAGACAGGTCTGAGTAGCACTGTACAGGGTCTATGCTGTCTGGACAGATGCCCCGTAGCGAGTATTCTCGCGCCGTGGGTCCTGGTGCGCAAACAATGCAGACAACGCAGACTGCCCACAAATGTGCGCATGATGGGCCCATCCCCTGACAAGAGCTGGCTGCGCCGAACTCCATGCACTTGAGCTGCGGCGGGCCGTTTGTGAGTTGGACTTCTATCTACAAACCTCTTTACAGACTGCTCCACGAGCGCTTGTCATGGCGTCTGTCAACTGCTGTGCGCCCTCTGTCTAAACGCTTCGTTTGGCTTTGTGCAAGGTGCCCAGGCTCACAGTTGCGTCCACATACTTGCCTTTCTGGCCAGTGATATGTATGGCCGTGTGTTGCGGCGCTTTGACAGAAGTCAGTGGTATCTGAACCGTATCTACCCCCACGGTTTTGTGCCGAGTGCCCCTGCCAGAAATCAGTGGAATTCCAACGTAAACATTCCACCCCAGACCTGAGTTGAGACAACCTGTTGTCGTTTGCCTTGTTGACTGTGAGTTTGTGCCACCAAGGGTCGATTTTTTCCACAGTAGCTGGGCTGGGGCCATGGCTTACTCTGCGGGCAGCTCAGCCTGCAGGAACGAGCGACCACGACGAGGGCCAAA